ACATCGAGAGTAACATCCTCCTCTCTGCCCCTTAATGCTCTCTGGTCGCTATGGTAATGCATAATTATTTCTTTCAAAATAAGACAAACAACTACAACACAGGAAAAGACCCAGGGAAACAGAGTTAACGATAAAAACCCTGAAAATCATAAATTTCACGACCGAGCCTCAACTCTCACAGCCCGGTACCGGTCTGTGGCCCAGGGGTTGGGGACCACTGCTGTACCTTACATGAAGACGCTACATATAGGAGTTATACTTTTACATTAAATCTACACCATAAACAATGAATAAAGTTTTTCAATAAAAAACACCAGCAGGCCCAAGCCTGGATGACCCAGTTTTCCCTTCACTGCGTTTGTTTTTCATGGGCATCAGATTACATTGAAATAAATCCATGTTTCTTAATGAGTAATTGTCAGATGTTACAGCTGTTACAAAAAGACATCTTTGCTTTCTGAGTACTCAAATGATGCAGCTTTCATCAGCGTGCATGTCTTACCTGGGTTACAGTCAGTGAGCAGGGAGCAGATGGACAGCAGCACCTTGGAGATGGTGAGCGCGGGGCTCCAGTTGTCCTTCAGGATGTCCAGACAGATCACCCCCTGACTATTGATGTTGCAGTGATAGATCCTGGTACGGAAAGTTACCTGCAGACACAAAGATCCTGCATGAAAAACACTTAAAAAAAAAAAAAAAAAAAAAAAGTCTGAAGAGAAATGCAGAACACAGTACAAACACTCCTGTATTGATCACTTTCACATGTGTTATTAAAAACAAAATGAAGCACTCACACAGCTCAAAATATGACAAAATATTTGTTGTGTGTAGAGAATTTCAGTCAGTGTTGGACTGCAATGAAACCTCTTTAGTAGACAAAAGCCCCCTAGTGGCTGAAAAGAAGTACGTCATCTTAACTGTCTTGGAAGGAAACCTCACTTTTCCTTATCAGTACAACAATCAGCCATAAACAGTGAGTCATTTACAGTAAATGTTCCGTGTCAAAACTGAATGCAAAATTATTGTGGAACAAGTGAAGTGTGGAAAACATTTGGAGGAAATTTGAGTCCTTTTCATCTCAGCGTACAATGTCTAATACTCATTCCCCCCCCCCAAAGAGACGAAAACACTCAGTTTATGCGCTACTGTAGCGTGACTCAAGATTTCCAAGAATGATAATCGGTTTTTGTCTCAGTTGGTCATCTCTGGTATTTATCATGCTGTATCTCTTCTCACAGACATTAAATATAATCTAAGACTAAAAAATAAATTACAGGAAACACACAGAGAACCCCACCAGGGTGATGGTGGGGTTCCCCCAAATCAATTTTACACCCACCTGAAGTGCCACAATCTAAACCCTTAATGTTGCTTTTTTTCATGATTACTTTTGTTCAGTAGCAAAACTGCAATAACTCAATGTGTGTAGCGTGGAGGAGTAGAAACCAGCACTTCTTTTCTATTATAATTCACTGGAAAGCTTTCACAGGTCATGTCACCACGATGAACAGGTGACTGCTCAGAACAGAACTTCTGAGATGTCTCATTTTGATCTACATTTGACACCAGGCTCATCATCTAACCATAAATAAAGTAATTATTTGTGTACTTTGAGGGCCTGCAACTTCAGTTTTTTCATAGTATGAAAATAAAATATTGCATGACTTTGAAATTGTTGTTTAAAAAAAAAAAAAAAAAAAGAAATCTGGGAGTCTGAGGGTTCAGATAAAAGACGATGACCAATTTTTACTGAATGACTCGCATGGTCATAAAATTTTCTCCTCAAATAACTTACTTATGAAAACAGCCAGTATATGTGTTTTCTTTTTACATGAATTTATATTTCCATCATGAACTGAAGCAGCAAAGGCACGAAATTAAAATCTGATTGCGTCAAGTGTCCCTACAAACCCCAAACAAAAACCACCTACACAGACATGAATAGTAAAACGCTGTGATTATCAGAAATGTGCTTACATTTAATCTTCACTTTTGCTTTTGTTTAACAGAGCAGATTTCCTGTTGATATTTACATAACAAAATAAATTTTACTCAAACATAGAGACCAGATGTTTATTTTATTATAAATAAATGTAATAAATGGGCCAATTAAGTATAAAGGGCTATGCTTCGGGTTTAAATTAGTCCATTTTTAGCATCATTTAATATTTTGTGGTGGTTTATTACTTAATTTGTAATCCCATCAGAACAGGTTGTTTCCCACTGCTGTTTGGGCTTTTTACCATGTATTTGTTTTGTTTCATTCCACTGGGAAACGGTCTTGATGAAACTATACACATCCACTGGGATGAGAGTTTTCACTGTCACCGCTGTGACTCTGTATGTTTAAAAAAAAAATGCTGCTTAAATCATTCAAATAATCCTCTTGGGAAAAACAAATGAAACACTCGTCCAGTCATTTGTAAACTCTGTAAATGTGTGATGCTGATCCAGAGTAAGCAGCTGAAGCAGTTACATGATGGAAAAAGAAAACGCTTCCATTTAGGAAACATGAAATTGCAAACATTAGCATTAGCACAAAATAAAAAGAATAATGCATAAATGCTTGAATTGGAAAGTAGAAGCACCGATTTCCCAGAAATCTGGACTGAATCCACTTTTTTTTTTTTTTTAACTGTGTTTGGGATAATTAGGCTGTAATTTTAGAGGTTAAATGTGACCATCATGAGCTGCTGTGTTGTTACAAAAGCAAGAGGAGCAGGGTCTCAGTAAAAGCAATCTGGCAAACAAAAGGTTGTACAATGTGTTTTTTTGTGTGTGGGAGTGGAGCTGGAGGCTTTTTTGTGCTATTTGAATATGTATTCTATAGCATATTTAATACAGTGTGCCTAGAGAGGGCGTGTTTTCTCTTAAGAGATCCGTGTTTATAGTCACCGTCGCTAATAAAGAATAAAGCTAAGTTTTACTGAAGCTTGGAGCATCATTTTGTTTTAAAAATAAAATGATCTGGTGATTTTCACATTCACAGGACTGGTTGTCAGAAAATTGTGTGTACTACAGAGCTTCACAATGTTAAAACCTCTCAGCAACATGCAATGAAGCACAAAATCTACAGCTTAAAAAAAACAGACCAACAGATGATTAATACGGTACTCTTGTTTGAGTAATGACTGAAAACCACAGTGCTTATCTGTGTCAAGATTTTTTTTTTTTAAATGAGACAACATATTTCGTGTAAAGTCCTGTATCCTGGTATTATGAAACTGTACAGTGTCTCAGTGAGAGGTTAGCAAAGGTAACTAAAACTCGATGTGAAAAACATTTTAATTAGACAAAATAAAAATTTAAATTATACTATGTCCAATATATTTCTGAACATGCTCAGTTTTGCCTTGTAAAAACTAAAAACTAAAGTAAAACCACAGGAAAAAATAAAGTGAAAGAACCAAGCCCACACTGGAAGCAATCTGAAACTGAACTGAAAACATAAATAAACACCAACGTGTTTTTGGAACAGTGTGGGGATGGAGATTTAACTGGAAGTCAGTGTGAACAGTTTTTTCTTAATTGTTTGTTTCTCATTTTTCTGGAAATTATTTATGACAAAAAATCCCTTTGGGATATGTGTGTTTATTAAAAGAAGCACACTGTATATTTCTACTTTTCCTGCTGTTTGAAATAAATATATTCTTGATAAGAAGCGAGCAAATGTGTAGCTAATAAAGCTCCATCTTGGTATCTGATAAAACTGATTCTTCATAAAGTAACACATCTGTTTTCTCAAGTTAACAGATGTACTGACTTGAGAAAACAGACGGGGTTTTTTTTTTTTTTTCCCCAACCCTGCACTGTCAAACTTTACACCGTTATGCAGAGCTACTTTTATATCAGGTGACATCTGTTTGTTTTGCTTCATTTAATAACCCAACCTTCCAACTTTTGGGTTAAACATAGTACACCTTGTCTTTTAAATCAAATATAGTCCTTGAACTCGATTTGATGTTGTTATCTAAAACCCTGCAGCTGAAACAGTTTCAGTCCAAACACCTGCTGCCTGCTTCTGAGGTACAGTTAACAGACATGAGGTTCTAGTATTGTGTATCAGTACCTTGGGGGGTTTAAAGGGGTAGTCGGGTGTGAAGGCGATATCTAGGAAGAAGACGCCTCCCTCGTACACAGAGCCCGGCGGTCCCAGGATGGTCGACCTCCACTCATAGATATTGTCTCCTTTTGGACCAGCACTGCAATCAGAAGGATTAAATTCATTTAAACTGGATTTATGTTCTGGTGAAGCCACAAAAATATTCTGAAAACATCAAGGTGCACTTAATTTATTGCACCACCCACATAAGCCTAAAATACAATATTTATTTGCTGCTGTGCCATGAGTCACATTTTAAAGAATGAAAGTTCTAATCTTTGTCGGTCATCTCTGGTGTTTATCATACTACATCAATAATAACGAAGGAGGGGGAAAAAGCTTTGCCGATACAAATCTCATCTGCAAACAGACAACATCCACAGAGCAGACACACCGACGCAAATGAAGTCAGAAAGGGAGGAAAGAAACAAAGAAAGAAAAAAAAAAAAAAAAAAGACACCCACACACAGACTGTAGATTACAAGCTGCACAGTGGATGTGCATCAGCGGCAGTGATCAAAGCAGTGTGTACTACAGTATGAAAGTCACATTCATTCACATACTGTGTGTATAAAACACAATGAATCACAATAAAATTCACGTTTACTGGCAGCACGCCGAAGAAGGCGTCAGAAAGCAGCTAAAGCTGATGATAAATGCCGCGTTTGTAATTCGACAGATGAATTCAGTGGGCTGCTAAAGGGAAATCCCACCCAAAGTAACCCTCCCCCCGTAAAAACGACATTTGACAACACCTCCTGTAACCTTAGCGATTAGTTCTAACATCTCAGTAAAGATCTGGTTTTAATAGCCATTAGAATAGTATCCGGATTTTTCTAAAGGTTGCTGCACAGGCAGCGACCTCCCTCGCTAATGTCTGATGCACAGCCAATCATTCTGTTCTATAAGCAGACCTGAAATATGACAGAAACCTCTCAGTTCAGAAAAGAGCTTCAAGAGTCACTCCTAACCATTTTAAAAGCAAATTTTTTGTCTTACTAATGGTCATCTTACTTACAACTCTCCATCTGCTGCCCAGACAGGAGAGAAAACAAACTACAGGCATATGAACCTGGAAAATAAATATTTAATTCGTCATTGTTGACGCTAATTTACATTGTCCAATTTGAAAAATGTGTAGCTGAAACACTGTTACAGAGAAGGAGAAAATGGGAAAGAGGAAAACAAAACTTTTTGTATTTTGGGGTGCAACGATACTCGTATCGATATTGAACCATTCGATACAGTGCTTTTGGTTTGGTACGCATATGTATCGAACAATACAAAAATTTTTAATTTATTTTATCAACTTTTCTTCTGACGATGCTGTCTGTGTTGAGAGCTCAGTGGATCTGCGTTCGACTTATCTGCCTAGGCTGCACTGTCGAGCGCAGATCCACTGAGCGCAGCGCAAGCTAGCGAGACAGAAGCTAAGCTCGTTGCAACATGGCAAATTGAACCTCCCCCACCCTCATTCAGGCGTTTGGAACTATTTTGGTTTTCATGTGAAGTATGACCCTGAAGGTAAGCGCGTCATGGACAAATGTAAAACACTATGTCGGATGTGCCACGCAATGCTCAATTACATTGGTGGGAACTAGTGCGTTAGCGCAGTTAGCTTGTTAACGTGTTGACGCCGTCCAGCCGCACGCACGGGGTAGCTCGTTAACGGAGATTTGCCGTGTTGTGGCGTTAACGTAATTTCAACGAGATTAACGCTGACAGCACTAGTGGGAACACAACGAATATGACTGCACATTTACTCCGACATCATCCTAGTGCAAAGACAAGTGGAAGCAGACAAAAACAACAAGCACACGCTACAAACTTTACCCGAGTCATTTAGACAGCCGTTAGCACATGATTCTCATTATGGGGACCTGATATGCTTAATATGCTAATATTTTGGAAAGAGCCATTTCTCTGTAATAAACTCTTTTCCAAAGATGAGTGATTTCTCGATCAGATAGATTTTTTTATTACTTTGTTGTTTCAGCAACATTAAATTTAAAAACTGTACTTTTGAGTTCAAATATATATTTATAATTTTAATAAATGACAAATTAAAAAGGCATGAACATTTTTTTGTATCGAAAAAATATCGAACCGTGACACCAAAGTATCGAACACACATTCAGCAACTGTATGCGTTTGGCTGTTCTGTCTTGAAAACTGCAACTTCACAACTTCCCTACATGTGACACGTGTGGGAAACATCTGTAAATTCCATTAACAAACACTGGACCAAAAAAAAGAGAAGCACTGTACTTGTAGCATATTTTCCTTCAAACATAGAGAGTCAAAGCTTTTTCCCTTGAGCATCATTCAGAAGATGCCAGAGTTGAAAGCAAATCCCCAGTGATGCATCTATGCCTCATGATCTGTAATCTGTATTGATTTTTCCTCAAAGCAGCCCAGCCTTTATCCCTCTGACATGTAGAACATGCGGCTGTGAACCCCTCAGGGTTCATTGCTATGAGCCATAATATCAGTATTGATTGAAAGCTCCTGTGGTGCAGCAGGGACGCTGGGTAGGGTTAGATATTGCGCTCTTCTGTTCGCTTTTAATCAAGGTTAGCACAGAGCTTCACTGCCAACGACAACATGGAATATCGATCCAGGGAGAACCGTCTGGACTAATTATCTGGATGTTAAAAGATATAGCAGCAAATGTGATAGATGAAAGGCTCTGACTTTCAAGTGGATGAATTCTAATTATAAGACTCTTTCCACACTGCTAATCAGCTTAAAGTAGCACCCTTATGAGACATTAATGTTGCAGTCATATAGGATATGACTTACTTGAGCTATATTGGTCTAAGATAACTGGACTCCACCTACCTCTTTTATGGGTTAAAACAAGGTGGTGCATAGTTTGAAAACAGCAGGATGGCTATCATGTTTGCACTATAAAGTGTCTTCAAAAAGGACCTTTGAAACAGTCGCAGTACTGTTTAAACTAGAATGACCTTATAGGACAGGAAGTGACAGGGCCAGCTACTCTATCATGAGCTCTAAACTACATTAACTTTTTAAATGATTTTAAATATTCTGATTTTTTAATGAGGTGGATTTGGCCTGAAAACATGATTTGTAGAATAAGATGTAAACCTGTCACCTGTAGCAGGCAGATAATACTGAATTATTGTTATTGACTCAGATTGTACAGGCCAAAAATCAATCAACCAACAATTCAGCAGGCTGCACCTTGCCTTAAGTCACCTGTTTCAAAAAAAAAAAAAAGAAAAAAGAAAAAAAGACTTTTCTTCACTATGTAAAAGTCACGAGTTAAGACAACAGCTAGATTATCTTCATTTGATGATTCTGTGCCAGGATTGAAACAAACAAACAGCTCTTATAATGCTTCCTGCCTTCACAACATAGACAACATCTGCAGTGGCTTCTAAACTTGTTAAACTACTGAACAACAATTAAAAGAGAAAAAAAACCCCAAAAAACAAAAACAACACACCGTAGGGTGACTATTAGATAAACGTTGTGCTGTGTGCATCCCTGTAGCCAACAGTCTGATTTAGTAAACAGGCTGAAACTTTTCTAAACACATGGCACGTCGAGTAATGTGAACATGCCTGAAGGGGACCATTTTCGGCTGTTTGCCACATGTGAGAAAGGAGCATCTGTGGGAAATATCCTGACCTCATTCTCCTGTCTATAAAATGTCTGAAAACAGCTGGACATCTACAAAAGCGAGAATCAGGTAGAGGCAACAACATGAAAGTGGCCAGTTTCTGTCTGATGCCTGAAGGAGCCCGAGAAGCTGCTGTTTTCTGAAAAGTGGCAGCAGTAACAACTGAAGTCAAAGCAGAAACTGCCGTTTCTTTTAGGACTGTGGCTGTGAACTGACACCAATTCCTGTTTCTTTCATTTATCTGCAAACATCCAGACAGCGTTCATTTGTGTGATGGTCTGTAGCCTGAGGTTGTTTGTCTGATCTGCTGAGCCACAGTGGGACAGATTCCTCTCCCTCTCTCCCTCCTTTCAGAGAGAGGTCAAAGGTCAGACGCAGCTGCCGAACAGCCACCTGGAGTGTGGCGGGGCTCAGTGATTTGCCTGAGGACACTGCAGGCAAAGGCTAAACTCAAACATGTCAGTTTTAAGCACAGTCTTTCCGATCACAGTGGTGCATTGCTACTTTTAACATTTAAGGACTAAGTTATTAAATAATCACTACTTTTCCCTGAGAATCTGAGGTGGTATATTTAGTATACTGACTGTTAATGTAAAATATCTCAGAATAAAAAGATTAAAACTGGATTTGTGTGTGTGCAGTTTGTAAAGTGTCTAAAGTGAAGACTTCTAGTTAAAAGTATAAGAAAAAAAAAAAAGAGTCCTTATGTATCGTATATGTTTAGAAGTTTTTTGTTAGAAACTAGTATTTAGCAATTACAAACATTTGACATAATTACACTAATCATTACAAGCTCTCTGAAATGTTTTGTGTTTAAATATGCAAATACGGAAATGCATGCAAGTATGCATTAAATAGAGATGTATGAACACTGGGTAATGTTCAGATATCGCATCGTAAAGTGTTTAAAAAAATAAAAATAAATAAAAATAACTCTGGATATCCCATCTCTGCATAAATCTGACGTCAGTCATCAGTCAGAAAAAACCCATTTCACTTTTTTCAGGAATAAAATGCTCAATAAATCAAGTTGAAGGTGTTAAAAGAACACGCTTTTCAGCCAAAGCTCTGAGTGTATAGGCAGGAATATTACTGCTAAGCCTGGTGGACCTAAGAGCTGCTGAATAGAAGATTTCAGGATCAGAGCATGAGACAATTTGTGAAAACAGCCTTAAAATGTGCACATGATGGAATTCATTTTAACTGGACACTAGTATTCACTGCTTAAAAAAGTAATAAATATCAAACTTCACCAGTTGATTACTTACTTAAAGACTTTTTTGCATTAGAGGCCCTAGTTCATTAAATATGCACTAATTTGTCTAACTTTGCATTTCCCCTATTGGTGCTCTAAGTCGGTGAATAAATACGTTTGGTTATGGAGACATACATGACATGCAGCAAAAACCCACATATCTACATTTCATAATATTCTAAGTAAATGATGAAAATGATGTTTCCCAACTAGCCCCAGCATCTTGACCTGACCTTACAAGCTGAGCTCTAAATAAACTCAGTGCAGCAACTTTGTGAATTCAGGAGAAATAACCCTGCAATGCTTTCTAAGAATGTAAACACGTGTTAAATATAAGGAATATCTTGGAAACAGCAGCCAATTATTAGTTTTAGATTAAAAAAAAACAAACATATTTTATCTCCACAGCGGACAAATTCTGAAAAAATGTTAACCATTGTAATTATGATCTGGATTTGACCACAGTATTGCTCTGTTTTGTATATTACAGTGGCTGGTATCTGAGGAAAAATACAGTGATGGGTTTTATTACCAGTGCAGCTAGGTAGGTAATTGACATGTGGTACAGAGTGAAACCCACCTGCAGTTTGGCGGAGGGTCCAGTGTAATGTCAGCCAGCTCTTTTTGAATCCTGCACATCAAAGAAATAGTCAGTTACAGTAATAATTACTCCAGAAATCACAGAATTTACGACTCAGACCCTCTTATTTAAATGTGAAATTTACATATTCACTTAGGGATTAATTAATGTAATTTCTGCTACAATTCCTTGTGTAAAAGAACAAGTGTTGGTGAAAGTGAGACTGAAAGTGCAAATATATAGATATAGACAGACACACAGAGACACACACACACACACACACACAGAAGAGAAAAGGGAAGTGCTAAAAGACAATCTTGTGGTGTGCAGGAAACACGTCTCTAATGGACTTCTTCTTATAAATTATGCTAAAATTTACCCCTAAAAATAAACCCACAGAATTTTTGTTAACACAGAAACCCCCCCAACAATCAAATTCTTGAGATTAAAGAGAATTACGGGGATGTCCTTGAGATACTTCTGATTTATGGTTTAGGTTTTTTACCGTTTAGCGCTGGTGGAAAGCAGCTTGGAGTTCTTGCTCATGCTGGCTTTGCTCTCCCGTTTCTTCTTGCAGAAAGTGTCCTTCTGTCTGGTCTGGCTGGAGGAAGGCGGCGATGACGAAGAGCTGGTGCTGGCACGGGAGTCTTCATCCGACATACCGGTTTGGTTTGGAGAGGAGCCGGAACCTAAAAGGTGGAAAGCCGAAAAGATTCAGAGTCATTTCTAAATGGGGCTTTTGTTAATTTGACCTCCAAGCAGCCATTTAATAAGCCACTTCCATGTTGTGAATGTTTAGAAGCACAGCGGAGGGTTGAGGAAGAAAAATAGAGCTTTAAACCACCTTCATTTGCAGCTGAAGGTTTTTTATGTGAATGTATGGCAGACTTAACAAGAACTGGCTGAATTCTCCAAATACTGAAGCAGAGGAGACGCCAGAACATCCTTTATGAAAAAAAGAAGCTCATAACCAAGTCTGAACCGAGACTATACATAAAAGTATTACTAGTTCTGGTAAATAGACTGGTTCTTATAGAGCACTTTTCTACTCTACTGAAGCATTCAAAGCACTTTATACAACATGCCTCGTTCACCTATTCACACCAGCACTTTTTTCTATGCTTAAGTGCTTTCTATCTAACAGAATGTGAACTTGTGTTAATATCTTCTGACCTCTTCTACCCCCTGAGCTACAGCCTCCAACATTTTCTGTTTGAGCTTTTCTTCAACCTCAAAATGATCCAAAGCATATTTGATGTTTGATATTGTACCACAAAATCTCATTGCGGTCCAAAGAATTTGTTCATATTTAATTGACCAATACAACTTATAGAAAATAAAATTAGAAAAAAAGATCACCTAGATGGTGATAAAATATATTGGTGTTTTATTTACTGAAGCATAAAAGTGTCTTAAACAGGGTTTTCCTGGCATTTTTTAAAGTCTGTTTCAATATACTCAAACTTAAAATTATTTTTTTAAATGATCAGAATTAACAGAGTCACAGAGCTCTGTCAAGCAAGTTAACGCAGACCCTTTGTCTTTATAAAGGTCAGAGTTGTCCTGGATCACTGATGGGAATTGGTTTCACTTCAGGGGCTATTTATGCATTTTAAAGTCCATCTTCTGGACATTGCAGTTTCGCCACAGAAGGTCGACTTCAGTAACATCCTGGGGGGGTTGTAGGAAAGGTGATCAGCAAAACGAGGTGAAAGTGTTTTGACTATTTAACAGTGGAGTTTTTCTTCTTCACCAAATCCGAAGCGAAAACGAACCGTTCAGCTCCAGCTGCCCTCAGGGGCGTAATTAAGCTGGTCTTCCGTCTCTGATCGACGGTGGCCTCAGAAGAGCACCAGCTGATCGGTTTTCGAGACGCGGCGATGCGAACGTTTCGCTGCGGGTGAAATCTTTCGATCTAAGCGAACTCGGTTTCGCGAAAACGTCGCTTCGACTCGATTAACTGGATGCAGTTGAAGTAATTTATGTTACGTAATAAGTCAACAAAGACAACACGTAAATGTGAGCAATATTTAGCGACTGCCTGTTCAGGTTGTGGGGGTACGCGTGTGGGAGAGGAGGTAGCGCAAACAAAGCCGTTTGCGAATGCTGATTTAACGTTAGCGTCACGGAAAACGTTAGCTAACGTTAGCAGACGAACTAGCTAGCTAGCTAGCGCTATGTACACTAAAACGAATAATTTCACAGCCAAGAAGCTCAGTGTGCCTGACGAGGGGTCAATGCTAAAAAATTCAGATGATTTTAAGTTTATCCCTGTGGTGACACCCTCCACCAAAGCTAATGCTACCGGCTAACGCCCCCCTTGTCCCCTTAGATCTCCCCACTCTTACCCCAACTTCAACTAGCAAAGACTCTGGCCTTCTGCAGTAATATATATTTAAATGTTGGGTTGTGTAGCACCACACATGGTTGCATCGTATTCTCGTATATCAAACTTGTCGTATGAAGGGTGTCAGTTTGAGAGTGAAACATTAAACGCGTTAGGTACTAGCCGGGAGCAACAGCTGCGCTCCAGCACATAGTCGGAGCCCGTTTTCCGTGCAACTAAGTGATAACCGCGACCTTCTCGTTCGTGTGCTCCTCTCTTTTTAAACCATCGACTTCGACTGAAAAAACACACACAGAGACGCAGACAATTCACATGAGTCTGATACATAAATGCCATTAAGCCATTTTTTATTCGCTAATAAAACTTACCCACTCTATTGTGTCTGGACCTCCGCCACAGTAGAGGCTAGCTGGCTGGTGCTTGTCGCCCTCTGCGGAACGGAAGTAGCCTACCGCGGCTGCAGTGGGCTGAACGGCACCGGTCCAACTCTGGAAACAGTACAGGCCTGCAGCGAGTGCTTCACGCAGGTTACATAATATTAATAATAAATTTTTTTTTAAAAAGTTTATTTCGGGCGCTGCAGTCCAATTCAGTACACAAGAAGAAAGAGTAATGATTAGAAAACAAACAGGCAGTTGATTCTGTGTTTCTAGAAACAGGAGGAATATCTTAAAGTTGGCTCAGTTGCAGCCATCATTACTGCACCTTTAATTAATCAGCACATTCATTAAAGCATTTTAAGCTTGAGCAAAATCCCGAACGCAGCATTATACAGTCAGGGCCGTGCATATTTGGACAATGACACTGCTTTTGTCTTTTCTCCTGCACACCAGTAACTGTGCAGTGAAGTGCAGGCTTCCAGGTTGATTTGAAGGGGTTTAACGAAAGTATTGAAGTAAGTGTCTCATACATACTACCGCTTTAGAGGCTTAAAAGCAGTTGACCAAGAAGCCGTTTCATACATGGGCCTTTCCCTTATTATTCCATGAAAGATCTCAAAGACGTCTCTTAGGATATAAATATTAGACCCAACAGCTGAATGAGGCTGAAGAAGAAAATAAAGCAATAAAGCAATAAAGCAATAAGAGCAAAAAAAAAAAAAAAAATAGCAGTAGCACATTATGTGACCTGGAGGACCACAGAAGGCAGCTAAAGTGCATGGGCTAGATTTACCAAACAGTATGTGAGGTGATTATTACACACTGGTCACATTTGCAATACCTAAAGCAGATAATCTGAAAAGTGTGATGTTCTGTCTGCTGTATTCAGGAGGTCTTATTTAACAGTTCTTTAGCTATGACTAAGCTGCTGCCTCATTGGCCACAGAAACTGACAAAAAACCCACTTAAACTGACCACATGTCTGTGGACTCATCCAATAATTACTCACAACGTGTTATTGCAGGACCACGAGTTGAAAGTATTGCAACCAAAATTGGCACGAAAGCACATTTTCACAGTTTTGAAAGGTTAATGGCGAATAGTTTGTATTTCTGTGTTAAAGGCGCATCAATTCTCTGCGCTTGTGCCTGCCATTATGTGCAAAAAACAAAACAAACAAAAAATTCAGGCCCTTGTTATTTGGGCTGACCATGGCTCAATTACTGATAAATTACATATTAATAGATTTGTAAGGGAAAGGTGCCTTGCAGCTGTTAAATGACCCACGAAGTACATCATGATGCAGTTACCTGTGGAGGGTGCGCAGCTTTAAGAGGTTAATGGGGTAATTTAGTCAAACGGTGACTACTGCTGTGCTTTGACAGTGGAATACTATTTTCTTTAACCAATTTCAAGTGTTGTTTTCAAGGTTTTTGACTATCTGTTTAGGCACTTCAGTGAAGTTATAAAGTACATCAAGTGGAAAAATTTAGCCTAAAATGCTGTAATGGACTGAAATTGGAATACAATTCTCCTTTATTATCTTGGAAAAACACATGTACTGTACGCGGGCAATAAGAACAGCATGGGAGCCAGCAAAGGTTAGATTGCTGTTTTAAAAGCAACACATCAACCTAATCCTGTAATCTAATGTGTGGTAAAAATGCAGTTGTTTTAAGCACCAATTTAGTCTGAGATGGAGACTCGTTTGGCGAGCAGCCTTCTGGCCAGTCTTACAGTCTAATGGCCACATTATTACTTATGCAAAGCACCAGCCAATTGGAGCATTAATCAGGAGAGCAACCGAAATACCAAAATCTGTAAGAAACAAGGGATCAGTCAGCTCTTGTTCTGTTGAAAAGGCTTAAAAGCTTTTTGCTCTATATCTCATTTATGATTCAAACATGGCACACCGCCAAACATATTGTGTGAAGTACTACAAAGTTTAGTTTGTGTTTTTTTTAATCCCCCTTCAGGTCCATTCTTTCTGTTTTGAATATTTTAATAGTTCTGGACTCACTGTGGACCCCAGTTCACATACTCTTAAAAAAAATCCTTTTTAAGGACATGATATTTATTTTCTTGGAAAACATCATCAATTCTACCAATAAGCAGAAGGGATGTACTGACCGTTTAATGGAGAGAAAAAAAAAGTACATGAACCTTTTTATTAGAACGGTATAAACCAGGGGTATCAAACATAAGGTCCCCAGGCCATAATGGCACACTGAAAGGTCCAATTGGGCCCACTGGAGGCCTTTTCAGAGTGCAGAAATTACAAAGGGCAACTTTTGGCTGTATTTCGCATCAGGAGAGCTTTTTTTTCCTGAATGGGTCATTGCAGCTTTACAACTTTTCTACTAAGGTGGTTACGCCAAAGAGCCACCGTGATGCGTTTCTGTGTTTTAAAACAGTAATCTTCCTTTGAAATGACAGTACACAGCACACGTCACCATTTGCTGGTCCCCCCAGCGGCTCCCTGGCAAGACTGTCCTATGTTGGTAATATGTTAAATAAATGTGAGCACAAGAGAGAGGAGACATCCTACAATGAGCTGAAACATTAAGTCATTTATTTCTGCATATACAACTTCCCCTCACGATTTCCTGTCGCCACCCCTCCCCCTCCCTGCACTGTTCTGTTTTTAGTGACCCCCCCTCCCCCCCTACATGGCCACCTCTATTCTTAAAAAAAAAAAAAAAAAAAGGACATTTTCAACTCGCACCATTTTCCAGGAATATTTTGTTATATTTTATGTTCTTTTTTTTCCTGGCATGAAAGGAAGGAAACATAATGACATTTTGAACATTTCTGGTTCGTCTCTCCACCTTCATGCACTTTATTTTCTTTTGCTGAACAAGTGACAAACCTCATAATAAATCAAGTTAAAGATGAGCTCATGTTTATTATGGTTATTCAACCTTTGGTCTCCATATGAATATGTCCATGTGAATTCCTATGGTTAAATGATGGTGTAATAGTTTTGGTCGTCGTAAACAGGCTAAAAGCACAGGTAACTCAATAAAAGAAAACTTTATTTTTTAAGATAAATTCTAAAGTTGTTTTTACTTCAGTTGACTAAATTAATTAAGTCACGTCCTCTGGAGCTAAAAAAAAGAAAAAGGAAAAGGAAGAAGCCAGTGTGCCAGAAAAACTGCAGTTCCATTAGTGGCCACTTGAGGCTTGTTCCAAAACAGCAGAAATAAATATTTTTACAGTCTGGACTAAAAGGGCTTGGGTCTCTATAGTTAACTTTCCCCTTGATCACACATCCGAGGGAGTGAGGGGGTAATTTATTTGTTTATGTTTTTATACTCATCCATCTGGATAACAGCAATATATTCAGAGTTATTGAACTAGTCTAATGGAAATATTTGATAAGTAACACAACCTGCTATGAGACAAAGACATTCTAAGATCTTTGTCTTTTTCAGTTTTGATGGGTCAAGAGCTCAGATTTTATTAGCCTATAAGCCCCCCCCCCCCAAAAAAACCCCCCCAAACAAACAAAACAAATAAACAAAAACCAAAGTCAGCACAGCAGGAGCCAAAATTCTAATGGCTTCAATGACATAAAATGAAAACCAATCGGGGTCTACATCCATCTTTTGCATACAGTCTCTGCAATATCTTCAAAAGGTTTGTCTTTCTGTCCACAAACTGAAGGCCCATTTTGAGCTTCTGAGGTGTAAGACTAGCTAACTTAAAAACTTCACATCTTCTTGATGTGGGCAATAAAATCTACCCCTCACCGAGTGTGTGCCAAGAAGTGCTGTAATGTTTATGACTGTAATGTTTCATAATCAGGCGTGTTCGCGTATGTGAAACATGCAACATCAGCAGTCAGGAGGTGCGCGACTGAATGAACAAGTGTAAATATTTAAGGGTGAAGAGGTTGCAGTTACACACAGAGAGCAGAGCGTTTTCTCACAAGCCAACCACAGTGTGTTTTATTGGGTGCTTCAGTAATACAAGTGCACAACAAACCACTCTGCAATTGCAGAGGTGGCGGGTAGCCAGTAAATATACAAGTCCTGCCTCTTTCACAGGCAGACCTATACTTTTGCGGTCTGCCTCAAAAGCCTTTGAAAAAATACATACAGTACAAACAAAATCAGAGAAAGTTAAAAAGCATGAAGGAGCCACTTTCCTGTTCCATGCAGATATCATACTGGTGACAACCAAAAAAAATTAAAACGAAAACAAAGTAAAAGCATACTCTGCATGTTTGTTCCAGGTGCCACTAAGAAAATGAGAATACATAATGTATAGCTGAAGGACAATGCTTATGATAATTATAATATTCTGTGTTTTTTTTTTCTCCAATACAATACTTCCAACATTCAGATATTGGAAAATAAAAATCCCAATCTACTCTTTGTATAAAAAAGAAGCTTTCAAGTCAACAAGGAACAAAGGACTTTTTTTTTGTTTTCTTTCGTTTGTTTTTTGTTTTTACACAGAAAAGGTAGATAAAAGAGGGAAGAAGAAGAAGAAGAGGAGAAAGAGGAGGAAGATGGAAGAGGAAGGGTGACAGGAGGGCAGATTTACCGCTGCACTTAGTGAGTGTGCTTTGACAGACTAAGGGGTGAGAGAGGTAGAGAGAGGTTCAGTGAGGGGTGAGGGAGGTGAAGGAGGGGGTGGGTCACGGCAGGGAGTCTATGTGGCGTATCTCTTCGTCCATTGTTTGGCTATTCTGTCATGCTCTGTTCTGTTGGTCAAGTACTGTGTGGCGATGCTTCCCACCAGAGGGTCGGCTGAAACAGAGAGAGAGAGATCAATAAATCTTTATTACAGACTCAAAAGTCCAGATGTAAAACAAACAACACGTCAAATAAAATAAGCAATGGAAATGCAGCATAACAGAAGAATGTAGATCATTATGGTTGAGTGCTCTGGTTGCCAAACAATATCAAACAGAGGCTCATTCAAGCAGTCACTGAAGGAAAACCTGTGGATCTTTATTTTGATGTGACTGATTAATCTTTCTTCATCACTGAACTTTGCCTGCTTTCATTCATTTTAGTGCACGGTTAAAGTTGTTGGATGTATTTAATGCTGACTAGCTGTGCTTTGTGTTACGGCCATTGGGAGTCCTAATAAATAAAGAAATAAACGAACTGTCCTAAA